AGAAGGCTGGTGGATCAAACCCACCAGCCACTCCTCGGAAAGAAAGTTGGGCAATCTACTTCCATAGTGATACTGCCTCGGAAACCCAAGGAAGGGTCACTATGAGTCGGGTCCAACTCGATGGCAAATAACAACAACAATCTTTTGCAGCAGATTGGCCTAATGCAAATAGATTGGCAGGGTAAGAGAAAACAGAGGTAAAGGCAAAGAAACAGTGACCCTCAGGCAATGTTTCAGAACCAACAGGAAAATCACCCTGCACAGACTGCAGGTAGAAGCTCATTGTACGTACCGCTATTGGACATCTGGAAGAGATTGTTCTTTTCAAACTTCTTGAAAACACTTCCTTTAATTTCAACAAACTGAAATGGTAAACAAAAATAACATCTTTACAACAGCTTTTAAAATGGACATGCAATATGTAAAACTCTTCCTGGAGAAGAAATAACAAGTAGATCCGAGGATTTTACCACATTTAGAATACTGCTGCTATGGCGACCATTTTTTTCACATATTTTTACATTTACAAAACTGTAAGACAAAGTCTCATACTTACATTATTAGACATCATGATAGTAAGAAGTGACTTGTTGTGGGAGTTAAAAGCTACATTGAGAGTTGTTGCTTGAACCATTATAAGAATTGCATGCAAAACTAGCAGTAAGAAGTGTTAAGGAAAAAACATCAATCTGTTTAGATATTATATTAATTGATATATTATACAAATTTTAAGAAGTCTTGAGGACATGGTGGTTAAGCGCTCGGCTGCTAAAAAAAGGTCAGTGGTTTGAACCCACCAGCTGCTAAATGGGAGAAAGATGAAGCAGTCAGTTTCCACAAAGATTTACACCCTTGGGAACCCTTTGGGGCATTCTATTCTGTTTTACAGGGTCACTATGAGTCAGAAGTGACTTGACGACAATGGGTTTGGTACAAAAATTTTGAAAGTGAATAAGGGAAGAAAAAAATGACTATGTTTTCTAAATTAAGTCTTCCTGAAGTATTTTTCCCTATTAGCTTTAGTTGGTATACATTTACAGAACAAAAAATATGCAACCCATTGTGGGAAAATGCAGTCAATGTCATGAGACAAAGCGTATGTGAGCTGCAGTATGGAAAGTGAGTTTGCTCTGTAAACTTGCACCCAAATCACAATAAAAATTAAAAAACAACAACAAAAAAATGCAACCCAGATGGAACTAACCAGAGTAGGAATAAACTTCTGTGCATCTTCTTATTTACCATGAACAGCTGTGGAATTAGGGCTGCCTTGTTTTATATGTATCTCTAATACTTAGCAGTGCCTGGGAAATTTGGTTGTTGTTAGATGTCATCAAGTCATCTCCCTACGTACAACAAAACGAAACACTGCCTGGTCCTGTGCCAGTCTCACAATCCTTGATATACCTGAGCTCACTGCTGCACCTTAGTGCCTAAGGTATTTGACCGCTAACCAGAAGGCTGCTGGTTCAAACCTACCAGCCACTCCTCGGAAGGAAGGTTGGGCAATCTACTTCTGTAGTGATACTGCCTTGGAAACCCAAAGAGCTATGAGTTGGACCTGACTCCACAGCAGTGAGTTTGTTTTTTCATTATTATTATTATTGCTGCACCCACTGTGTCAATCTATCCCTTTTGCTGACCCTCCACTTACAAACCATGATATCGTTCTCCAGGGAATGGTCCCTTCTGACAATATGATCAAAGTACATGACACTAAGTCTGGCCATCCTCACTTCCAAGGAGCATTCTGGCTCCACTTCTTTCAGAACAGATTTGTTCATTCTTTTGGCAGTCCATGGTACCTTCAGTATTCTTCACCAACACAACAACTCAAAAGCATCAACTCTTCTTCAGTCTTCCTTGTTCATTGTCCAGCTCTCACATGCATATGAGGCGATTAAAAATACCATGGCTTGGGTTAGACACACCTTAGTCTTCAAGGAGACATCTTTGCTCTTCAACACTTTAAAGAGGTCTTCTGAGACTGATTCATCCAATGCAATATGTTGTCTGATGGCTTGACTGCTGCTTCCATTGGTGTTGATTATGGAACCAAGTAATGTGCAATCTTTAACAACTTCAATCTTTTCTCTGTTTATCATGATGCTGCTTAATGGTCCAGTTGTGAGGATTTTTGTTTTCTTTATGTTGAGATGTAATCTATACTGCAGACTGAAGTCTTTACTTTCCATCAGTAAGTGCTTCAAGTTATCCTCACTTTCAGCAAGCAAAGTTGTGTCATCTGTATATCACAGGTTGTTAGAGTCTTCCTTCAACCCTGATGCCATGTTCTACTTCATGCAGTCCAGCTTCTCAAATTATTTGTTCAATATACAGATTGAATAAGTATGGTGAAAGGATACAACTCTGACATACCTCCTTCCTGATTTTAATCCATACAATGTCCTCTTGTTCTGTTTGGACGACAGCCTCCTGATCTATGCTCTATCATGAGCACAATCAAGTGCTCTGGAATTCCCATTCTTCTTAATGTTATCCATAAGACATTATGATCCACACAATCGAATACTTTTGCATAGTAAATAAAACACAAGTAAACATCTTTCTGGTATTCTTTGCTTTGAGCCAAGATCCATCTGACATCAGCAATGATATCCCTTGTTCAATGTCCTCTTCTGAAT